GGGTTCGTTAATACACCCTAACATGAATTGCCTTTATTTTAAAGAATCTTAAGAGCCTTTGTGATGACACTATCTTACCAGAGTGAAAATAATATATCTGATGTAAATGAAGTTTAGTTTTTTGGAAAAATTAGTCAAAGTCTTCTAGAACGGTTCAGTATGAGAAAAATCTGTACAGTAATTTAAATATTACAATAAACATCAAGGAGGAAAACAGAGATCCAAAGTGTGTGAATATGTCAGAGCTACAGTCTATGGATTACTGACTTGGTTAAGTAATCCATCAACTTGCTAGATGGATTTAAGAATAAACAATTAATTTGCTATTAACCCCTTTTTCTGGCTCCTGCTGTCCAGAGACATTACAAAAAATAAAAAAATGACAGACTGAGCATTCTATTACCATGTCAGTCAGTAATTTTTGAATGCCATCACAGAAATGACGACACAAATCATTCACTCAATCTACCCCTAGTGGCACACTTAACCCTGATTACATTAGATAAAGATTGCTCCTGAGGCTCAAGGAGTCCTTGCAGCACAAGTTTAATCTCTTTGTTTTGCGGCTAAAGGGCAACTTCAATCCGAGTTGCAGACTCAAGTCACCACTTCTGCGAGTTTCACAGCTGCATTGTAAAACTGACCATTTCACACCAGCATCAAGTGGCTTTAACAATTTGAGCACATTTCTTTGACTCAAAGCCTAAAAAGAAAGTATGAAGGTGCGTCCTTCAGAATGAGATCACTGAAGGCAGCCAATCTACAACAAATGTTCATAATTTTTCAAGGCTGAGAATGTGGAGTTACACAAAGTATGAAGCAAAATACTTACTCCAGTTTCTTTTGGGAGTCTTGAAACAGTTTGCACGTGCATGTTCAAGATGACTAATCAGAAAGGAATCAGAGTAAGAGTGAATGGCATGGCTTTGTTTAGTTAACATGCTGGAGTGGCTGTGCTTTGTGCCTTGGACTGACCCACTGTGAAATCCAATCACCACAAAGAGACAGCAACTTTTACTGGGGTAGGGTGAAGAGGAAACTCACGATGAGTTTGGTTTTTGTAAAGTTACACAAGTAGAAAACTGCATGACTGGGTTTCATGGAACACAGACAAAACAATGATGGAAATATGAAGGTTTACCTTTTCTGAGATGTTAAATTGATGTTTTCGGTGCACACATGGGAGTAATGAGCATGGTGCGGTTGTATGAGTCGTTCATTATCATGCCCACGCAGAGATCTGAGTCACTTGGGTGGCACTGCCACACAATAAAAGCTCAGGCGAAGGTGCGGGACGCCTGGCTGAGGTGACGGACAGCAAAGCGGGGCTGCTGCAGGTTCACCTTCTGTGCAGTGGCTCTGGGGCAACGAGTGTATGACAGTGATGCGACACTAAAAGCCTTCCTGTCAGGGAAGCGGCCGGACGTCCTCCAATCAAAACACGGAGGCTCGGGGTGACATTTCACAGGCCACAGCTGCTGGGCTGCGACAGCATGCCAACTCACTATTCCTGACGGGTTGTTTGTTTAGCGTGTGTCATAAGTAAAGAGGTGTCACTGCAGGAGTTGTGGACTACTGTGTGTGCATACTTGTCATACAAACTTGCCTTTCTCATCCCAGTCATTATTTGACTAATCTTGAAGTTACATTTTACACCGGCTCTCAATAAGAATGTTCCGTTTCTTATCAGCACCAGCAAAGGTGTGGAAAAATGGACATTTGCCAGTTTCGTGACTCAGACAAGACAGGGAGAAGAGCAAAAGAGTAACATGACTACCCACAGCTGAAGACCTCTGTAAAATGACACTATTTAAGGTTTAATTCACTGTCTGTTCAGCTTAAATCCTGAGACAAAAATAAGGTTTCTGCAGTTCTTTTAATGTTTAAACAACTCAGACTCAACCTATATTAATTTTAAAATATGAAATCAAATTTTCACCATGAATTTAAGGGAGATATTTTTCCTTCTTGCTAAGAAAGCATATAAGGAAATACAGAAACAAGGCAGGAGAGAAGGAAGGAAGAATAGAAAAAAGGAGGAAGGACAACTTTTGGACAAAGGGATAGGGAATGAAGTCTCTAAATACTAATATTTCTCCACATTTATTTTTCTGTGCTTTTCCAGACCTAGAAAATAATGACACACTTCCATCTTCCAGACTGCGTTTGAACCATGATAAAAAAAAATTAAAAAAAAGATCAATTTGACTCCTCTTTTATACATTTTGTAACAAAACAATGCAATCCCAGGAATTTTAAAATCTGAATCAATCCCCAAGTGACTACAAACAAAAGCACAACATAGAGCACAATTTAAATTTAAGTCATTGGATCACATGAATTCTCTCCCATAGCAAACATAAACTTAAAAGAAAAAATGACATTGATAAAAATAAGACTTTCATGACCTCATGAGCCCATATTATTTTGGCCATAAACCATTGGCCAAAATAATAAAACTAAATATTAAAATATTTACCCGTTTTGCAGCAGAATAGTCACTTCTGATGCACTGCAAATTGTGTTTTGCATTAATAAATTTACTAAAACTCTGCAGTTGCTGCTTTAAGGGAGGCTTTTGTGTGAGCTAGTACTCAATTGCTTAGCTGCTGTTAATGCAATAATAAAAAACTTGAGTAATAATTTTTAAGCTACCAAATTAGTAGTAATGAAATAAGACGACCCAATCTGTACATGCGATAAGAGCAAAAGCCGCATCATCCTGAGACTGAACTCAGACTTGAAGTTATAGCAACATCCCAGCAGCAAACTGCCCTTTGTAAGTGACCTGCTCCTATTACCTTATCCATTAAGTTACAGTTTCCCCTTTTCCAGTAAAACTTCTTCTCTGGCTCGGAGCCCAGGAGGTTTGAGTGGTTTTGGAAAAGTTTCTTATCCTTATTTTGCCCCGGGTGGTAATGGAGCAAGCTGTGTGAGGAAGCCGCAGTCGAAAGGCAGAGTTAGTATGCACACATAAAGCTGCTCAAAGCCTGCAGGTATGTGAGGAATGCCTTTTCGTCCAAACAGCGGGAATCACGCCTGACACAGAACCATGCCAAACACCACACAATACTATTGGTTGGGGGGAGAACTTTGCAACCAAAATTTACATATTAACAGCTTAGATTTTTAAATCTAAACTGTTAATCTGTAATTGCTCATTTAGGGAAAAAAAAGCAGTGTGTATTCTCAACTACTAGTCTGAAAATATATCAATTCCAACAAATGCTTAAGGTCTAAATTTAAAGTTGAACGCAAACATGCATCAACAGGAAGTTTGAAAATATTTTTGTGCAATGAACATATTTTAGGTTCTTTACATAGTTTGAGTTCTGTGGCAGCTTGGTTAACCTACATGTTTGAGCAGTTGGGGGTTGTTTGAAAGCAAGATGATCACTATCGTCAAACGTAAATAGAAAGGCTCAGTGTTAAAATTAAATACAGATGCAAAGAGCTCTCCACTGGTTACTGTAATAGGATGACTTTTTGGCTTCATTGTTGCTAAAGAGTAACCGACCACAAATTGAGAAATCTTCTTTTGTTCAATAAATACCATAGTAAGTAAGCACTGCCAGGATACAATGACACTTTACTGTTTTTCTATGTACATTCTGTGTAACATAGTTCTATGTTCTTGCTCGGAAGCTCGGGTTCCTCTTTCTCCTTTGGCTTCATAATCTAGCTTTATGGTTGCAGGGGTGAAACCGATTGACATTTTAAACATATTGATATTTTAAAATAAAATTACCATAATACCATTAAAGCCATCTTTGGTGACAGTGGTCAAACTTTCTTTTATAAAACCTCACCATCCAAGACAGTGCTAATTCTTAGCATTTCTTCAAAATGTATATATATATATATAAAGCATAAAGAAATTTTTGCCCCCAATACATGGAGTATTATTCATCTGGCCACTGGCTTGTAAGGCAGAAGAAGCAAAGCCAGGTAAAGTTCAGGCTTGACACCAGCTTTGTATGGGTCAGTGTCATTTGTGGCCCTTAGAATGACTGTATCAAATATTTGAACTGGCAGCACAATTGTTTGAGAACAAATTGTTTGTATTAAAGAATAAATTGCACCGTTAAAAAAAACTTTTTTTCTGTTAAAGCAAACTTTTTCTTAAACTGATCAAGTAGAATCTTTTTCAAATGGGAAATTCAACAACTTTTTGCTTGTTGAAAACAATTCACCCCTCGAATACATGCAAATGTACAAAGAACAACACTATTGGATCACCTTCCCCCACTCGTAGTTCAAACTAGATAATTGTGGTGCATAGCAAGAAGACTGGACGCTTTTGGGTCAAAGAAAAGTGTTTAATAGTGTTGAGATAGCAACATTTCACAATAAGGACCGTAAGCATTATGTAAAGCATGCTACAGTTTAAATAGCATATTTTGAAACTGATGTAACAGCTTTTCAGTAACCTCTTTGCTTGTAAAAATCAGAATAGTCTGACTGTTGGGTGGACAATGTGTTGGACTGCAGAAAGTTATTTGTTCCAGATAGATATAACGTAATGCACAAGACATTCTGTCTGTGTTGGTGAGAGAGATCACATAAAAAATAAATAAATATGCCACTTCAATTTTTTTGAACATTAAATCACTGCAATGTTGCAAGATCACCCTGTACCCTGAAGAGATGTGATAATTGTTTACCTTTTAAAGCATGATATGTATCCCTTTGACTTTTGCAAATCAGTTTGAGACAAAATGTACAGAATGTAAGCTTTTAGTATGGTGAGTTAATAAAAAATAATAATTCTGTATGACACAAGCTGGTAAAATTGTCCAAACTCATAAAAGCTTCAAAATGTACTTGGACTCAAGGAGATTGCGATGAATTAAAAACTGTGATTTAAGTAGAAATGAAAAATTGTGATACAAGCACTTGCCAAATTGCCCAGCCCTTAAAATCCCATCAAGTACTGCCTTCAAGCAGCATATTTATATTGAAAGGTATGTGCAGCCAAAACACATGATCAGTGTTTTTACCTCTTTTATGCAGCCATCCCTCCTTGACGATCACCACATTGGTCATGTTGGTGGACAAGATGGAGGATCCAGGTTTCCCACCAGGAGAGACACAATTTTGTTTTCTTCACTCAGCCCAATGCAGGAGGCTGCAGATGGGGTCCTGGGGTTTAAGGCCGCCTTCTGGTGGTAACCTATTATGCGAGGAAAAGTAAAAAATTAGCCCCAAGTTGAGGTGAAACATCTTTTTCTATCTGTCTAAATTTTAACCCTCAGGTCAACAAAGCAGATTGGAAGCAGTGTAACGGAGAGGATTCTCGTGCTTTATGGCCCAGCCAAAGGAGGACATGCTGCAGCAACAGTGGTGTTGTTTTAATAAGAGGAACCTGTAACATTTCAAGGTTCAAATGACGGTGCGAGGCCGTGTGTTTTGGCATTCATGAAGTCTGCCGTATTGGAAAATTCCACACTGTTCACAACCTGCACAACCATTCTTGATAGACCAGGAGTTTTCCCCTCCACGCATGACCAGAGCTGCTCTGAAGAAACACAAAAAAAGGATGACGTCAAATCATTCTCACACAACCTACACACTTTAATAGGCTGTCAGGCTTGTTTTGCTTTTGTATCAAAATTTATCTTTCAGCTTTTAGCATAGCAACACATTCACATTTTCCACTTTCCTCAAATATTAATCCAAGGGTGCAATTTTAACCCCAAAGTAACTTCATATCATTTCAAAACAGAACAAAAAATATGCAACTTTTTTTTTTACTTGTGATTAAAGTCCTTTTAATATGATCAAAGCAGTACAGACACTTTCAGAGTTGAGGGGGTTTCCAGTTTAAAAAAAAAAAAATCATCAATTAACATCAGCCAGTAAATAAATGCCATAAATAAATGCTTTGCTAAACTCAAGTGGTTACAACTTGCTAACATGTATTATGTGCATTTGGACAGTGCAATATTTGCAATATAGTCAAATAAACAGAAGCAGTTTATCAGCTGTATAATTTAGTAAACAGAATGACGAACAAAAACTGCTAGATTTAACTGTATTCAGTTTAATTACTTGTTTAGTGGACAAGTAATCCATGGACCATAGTTTTTGCATATTCTAGAACCTAATTTAAGAACTACTTGAATTTTATATATATGTGTGTGAGAAAAAACTAGAGTAAATGACCTTTTCTTACTTTCAAACTGACCTGAGAGTGCCCTGGTTTGTATCCTCAATAAACCTAAAGGCATATTGTTGCATATTTAGTTCATAATGAAAGGGCACCTGAATTTCTTCTCAAAATCTTCTCAAAAAGATGAAAAAATCAATAATAATAATAAAAAAAACAACAACTTTGCTTATCAAATTTCAGACCTAGATCGGAAATCTGGATGTATCCTTTAAAAGGTTTGAAATTGAAAATTAAAATAAGTTCCTGTAGAGACTCAGATGGATGAGACTGTCTCAGTTGTCAACAAGCAAGGTAAATGCACATAATGCAAAGCAAAGCTGCAGTGCATGAGCATCTAAAACGCAAGCCCTTCTCAGCCATAAGCCAGCTTTGTGTGGTTAGAGGTGAAAACACATCTGGGCTCACTGAAGTGGAGTCAATATTTCTATGTGAATCATTTCTCTCTATTCACACACATTAGATCTATGGTGCCGAAGTGGTGGCGCTTGAAAACAAAACTAAAACGTCTGGCTGCTCATCATGCTGTGGAGGTGTCTGGGCAACCGCTCAGACACCTCAAGTGTTTATAACCTAAAGCTTCAGTCAGTTGGGTTAGTGTGTCATAGTCCAGATTTCTGCAATAACATTATTAATAATGTTTGCAGTGATGTTTAAGCAAGATTTTAAAAAGGTGTATTGCAGAAAAGATGTGAGGCAAATACAATTTCAGTCAAGTCTAACATTAGGAGCAATGGTAACAAGTAAATAAGATTAGTTTGTAGTTGTAATCCGATCTGGAGCTTGTGATTTGACATTTAACGGTTACTGTAACTATTTTTTAAAGAAACTGGACTTTTTTGATCAGCTCGAGATCTCATAACCTAAAGAAATTGAGAAAAACAAATTTGGCTAGTTGACAGAAAAACCTGGTTCAATACTGAAAAAATTAACCTTTATTTACACTGTGTTCCAAATTATTATGCAAATTGGATTAAAGCATCATAAAGATAAAATTGTTTGTTGTGCTATTACATTTATAGATGGTATTGTGTGTCAGAGCTCTTTGAATCACTGTAATTAATTTCAGAGAGCGGGATTGATTAGTTTGTCTGGTGATCTCAATTAAAGGAAATCTACTTTAGAAGGAGGTTCCACAAGGTCAAGCAGGTCACAGGTTTCAAGCAATATGGGAGAGAGAAAGGATCTCTCTGCTGACAAAAATCATCAGATAGTGCAGTGCCGGATGACAGGGTATGAAACCATTAGATATTTAACGAAAACTGAAGCATTATCGTACTGTGAAGAGATTTGAGGCTGATTCTTAGCAAAGATGGGTTTGTACAGATAAAGGCATAACGAGGAAGGTTTCTGTTAGACAAATTCGTCGGATTGAGAGCAGCAGTTAAAATGCCCTTACAAAAAAGCAAAGAGTTATTTGAAGCTGCTGGTGCCTCTGGAACCTCAAGGTGGAGGATCCTCCAGAGCCTTGAGGTGCATGAGCCTACTATCCGGCCCCACTAACCAGTGTTCACAAGCAGAAACGGTCGGAGTGGGCCCAACCGTACATGAAGATTAATTTTCAAACACACTTGTTCACTGATGACTGCTGTGCAACCCTGGATGGTCCAGATGGACAGAGTAGTGGATTGGCGGTGGATGGCCACAACACGGCTGTGACGTCACCAAGGAGGTGGTGGAATCATTTTTGGGGCCGAAATTATGGGGAGAGATCTGGTCGGCCCTTTCAGAGTCCCCGAAGGTGTGAAAATGTCCTCAGTAAAGTATATGGACTTTCTGACTGATCACTTTCTTTCATGGTTCATAAAAAAGAGCCGTACTTTCCATAGCAAAATCATCTTCATGCATGACAATGCACCATCTCATGCTGCAAGGAATAACAATGGTTCCTGGTAGACCTCACCAGCGAGGGATCCAGGAAGCATCCTGACCAGGTCCCCGAGCCACCTCAACTGTCTCCTCATGATGTGATAGAGCAGTGGCTCTACTCTGAGTCCCTCCCAAATGACCGAGCTTCTGACTCTATCTCTAAGGGAGAGTCCAGACACCCTACGGAGAAAACCCATTTGGGCAATTTGTATTCAATATCTTGGAAGATTTTAGGAGCATACTCATAAAACGTAAAAACAGTTCACTTCTATTTGAACTATTAATTTGTTTCTAATACTTGGAACAGTTAATTGTTGGTTACCAAAATAGTTTTTTTAATGTTTAACTGATTTTGGAGTTCATAATGCTTCAGAAGGAAAAAAAAGAAAAAACTGCTTTCACCTAAACTATTCAAGTAGGTTCCGTACTATACTAATACTTTAGCTGTAATTTCCGGACTATAGAGCGCACCTGATTATAAGCCTCACCCAGTGCATTTTTAAAGGAAAAACCATTTTGTACATACATAAGCCGCACCTATCTGTAGGCCGCATGTGCCTACATTGAAACATGACATATTTAGAAAGAAAGACGGTGCACAGAGCTTTCAAAGTTTTAATAATGTACCTTAGCTTTTCTTTCCAAACAGTGCCTGTGTTGTGGCAGTAACACAGCGGTAACACGGTAGCACAGCACTAACAGGGCTGGTTAAAAAAAACATACTGGTAAACGTCACTGAGACACGGCAGTAACACAGCAGCAACACGGCAGCACAGCACTAACGGGACTGGTGAAAAAAAACATACCAGTAAAAGTCACTGAGAGCCGTCTTCATCTTCCTCCGGTGCACTGAAACTATGGAAGTCTTCCTCCTCAGTGTCGGATTGAAATAGCGTCCGATATTCTTTGCCACACACTCTCTAAGTCTCTCTTTCGTTGTTCTTTATCGGCCAGCTTTTAACTTGAAAGCTGCGTCATATGCATTTGTTCTTGCATTTTCCATGATGATTTTCATGCTAATTTTATGCATGCACAAAGCGCAAAGTTACATTAAACTTGTGTCTTCCTCGACATATATTCCACCTGTCTCACTCTTACCTTTTCTGCTCGAGCGCCCCTGGCAGCCGTTAGAAAAAAATGCATAAATTAGCCGCATCATTGCATAAGTCGCAGGGTTGAAAGCGTGTGACAAAAGTCGCGGCTTATAGTTCGGAAATTACGGTACATAGGCACACCACACTTTTCAGTTTATCTACAAAACCATTCATCTTTTTTGCTTTAGCTTCACACTTGCTTGCCAATTTGTTTCACTCAATAAGATGAAATACTCTGAGCTTTTCCTTTTTTTGATTAAAATCTCAATCTTCAAGGCATGGGGTTACATTTGCAAGGCACAGTATATGTGGTTAAAAGGCATAGAGTCATCTGATAATCTGGCTAAAATCCAAAACACTTATCAGTCATCCATCAACAGCTCACACTAAAACCCTGCAGGCTATCACTACAAAAACACTTGACACTTTGATCCATTTGAGCCAACTTTATAGAATATAAAGGCTGCTTTGTATGCAGGGCAGAAGGAAAACAATGATCAATTGGCATGCTTGCGTATACAAATGTCACACAGAACACCAGGCAATTCCTGACCATTGACAAAAATCAATTTTTCTGCAGCTGCATCAGAGAAAAACCATCAAAGCAGAGAGAGAGAGAAAGAGCTTCGTTTCACTGGCCTCATTCAGTTTGCTGGCGAGGCCAAACAACAGGAAGTGAATGTGTCTATTGACAGACAACAAGTCATATCAGTACAGCCTAGGGCCTAACTACATCTGTCACTGAGTGTGTGATCAACACATTTCTGCTATGATGCTGTTCTCACTTCTACAAGTGAGCGGAATTGAGATTAAACCATCATAAGTAGAGTTAATTTTTGCTCAGACTTAAGGAATCCAGATACCAAGTGAAACTCAAAACTGGGGTTTGTTCAAACTGTCTGATCCAAGACTGCACTCCGTGACACAGTCATGAACACATTATATACACACTGTGATACATCGCATAAACAAAGTTGATCACACACAGAATCACAGTTTAAGAAGCAACACATGCACAAGGACTGACTCTGGAGCCACAACAGAGCGCTGCTGTTTTAATAGCAGCGACCTGTTGCTACTGCAGCCTGTATGGAAAAGGCTGGGCTGCTGCCAGTGCTGCAGCCAGCAGCCACTAAATGAACCCAGTACCCCGACAGCAGGTCACATGGTCCACAGGCCTATGGGCCACCGCCTGCCTGCCTGCCTGGATGTACTCATGTCAGGGGCGGTTTTCAATCATTCATCTTTCTGGCTCCAGCTTCAGGAGGGTAGAAAGAGGCTGGAAGTGGGGAGAGAGGGAGGGTGGAAGAGACACCGCATTCAATGCAAATCAGTGTCATGCTGCAGAAGATGCCACACACCGAGCCTGTCAGTAAGCCAGAGAGGACGGTCCCATGCATTTCAGGCAAGAAGCAGAAAATCAGGCCGACATCACCACACCACTTCCGTCATCGCCGATCAATAGAAACCGTTTCCCCTCAGTTTTCTAGGTAAACAAGATGAGTCAGCAGCAGATTTGCCGCAACAGAAGTTTGAACAATTATCCCAAATGCTCGCAAGGAATCGAGAAGATCAAATAATCTCACCTGTTAGTGAAACTAGCCCTGAGGCAGCACTTGTTTGATTTCAAATGCCACAGTGGAACTGGTATTAGTATAAACTACTATACCGTCCTAAGTTCCTCTTTCAGGTTCCCTGAACATAGACCATTGATAATAAGAATATTGCAGCAACTGTGGCCATACACCCATGAAAGAAAAGTCCTTTATGACTCATGTTAATGCATTTACTTTTAAGCAGTTCAGACAAACTGAAGCCCATTTCAAAGAAGCAAGACGCTCAAATGAAATGGCAAAGAGAACACAAGCAGAGTTAATAAAACCTCACATGTCCCAAGCAGGTCTGCATCCCAGTTTTGTCTGCTTGAAGCATCAAGATTTCAAACAACACTCCTCAGATTCCGCATGTAACCATTTACGTCAACAGAACTGCGAGGGGGCATTGGGTGGGAGGTGACTGGTATTTTCAAAAACAGAACATTGAGCGAGCCAAGCAAGTCACCGGCTCCTTCATTACGCCAGCTTGTTGCGTCTTCGCCGGGTCACATGCCAGGCCCCCGTTGCGTACACACAAACGGTCCGACGTAGTCTCATGACCAGTACAAACATTCTGACACTTGAAGGCATGAAGGGTACAGCATGCCTGGGGACAGTGTTGTTCTACCACTCTGGGAAACAGAGACACGCAGAGATTACAGTGTAGAAAACGTTTAGGACGAATCCAACCTTAAACCTAAATCAGATGTGTAGACTTGTTTTTAAAAACGTATGTCAAACTACTGCAAAAAAAAAAAAATCTATCAATTTATACAACAAGCCAGATTTTTTTTAAATTTATTTTGTTATAGCTCAATTAATCAAGAGTACCTCTACTCTAGAAGACAAAAACTCTCCAGTGCAATTACAAACAGCATTTGGCACACTTCTTTTATATTTTCTTACTTTTCCCTTTATGTGCATCTTTTCAAAATATATTTTTTTTTATTATTGTTGAATTGTCTTCTGAACAATTGTTGCAAAACGTTTCAGTCATCAGTAGAGGTGCATGTCACACTACAGGGATCTCAGGAATGTTGAGCAATAAAACACATTAAAATGGTGAGTGAAGTGAATCACAACAGACTACAAGGGACAGATTATCAAAAGACATTTGTAATTGATACTGTAATCAAGTTGTAATAAAACACTATAAGATACTAACCACTAAAAATGACCACCAAACAGGCCCCAATGTTGATCACAGCATGGATGATCCTGTAGTACAGCCCAAACCATTGTCATTCTTCCAGTCAACAACAGAAGGAGGAAGTAAGAAAAAGAAATAAAATATCATTGCTTGACCTTCAGAAAGTAGTTCTTCAGGTGAGCGAAAGTAGTCAAGATTTCAGACTGCAGGAAGTAGCATGTTACTGGAAAAACCCATAACCATTCAAAGAGATACACCACTCCTTTGGCAAGTGGCAAAAAATCCACAGAAAACAAATATCTTTCAAAAAATAATAAATGGATGAATGCATACGAGTCTGCTTTCCCATCCATTGCATCACAGCGTTGGGTAGTCAAACTATCATAAAGCTGAATCCCTTCTCAAATACTACTAGAAAGCAAGAGAATTAATATTAAAATTTATCAAATGTAAGTTATTTTCCACATTGTCAATATATTAGTCAGTATGGATGTGGAGTATTTCATTAACATCACCATTTTCACCACCTTTGCAGTTGAGTAATTTTGTCCTCAACTTTATGTGGTTTTGAATTGATGTCTTCTACCTTGGGACTTTTCATCTTGACCAAGTCGTACCCTTCAAGTTTCATACCCACTTTGACAAGCAACTACTTAAAGCAAGCTTCTATTCTTTACTCCTGGTGAGCTGCACGTTGCATATTTTTAAGGTGCAAGGTTTTGGTCTGACAGTAACTGTGGTATATGTCTGAAAACTGCAATGTTTCACAAACATGGAAAGGATTCAAATGGCCTCATCCTTTGCAGGAATTTGCTTTTTTTTTTTAAACCTTTAGACTTTGTAGATTATCTTTAATTCGAATGAAATTCAAGTTATACGTCTCAATATTTACCACTAGTAGGTTATTTAGAGTTATCCATTTGAGACAGAATTCAAAATATAGAGTGTAATGGAAAGTTTTAGGTAAAAGTAAAGTGATGCACAGTCTGTGAATAAATGGCTTGTTTACAGGTATAAAATGGAGTGTGAATTGGTCAGCCTTCTCTACTCTTGTGACGTTATCCCAAAAACACACAAAGCAGAGTTTGTGTTTTATCTTCCCCCCATTTTATTCAAAAATAAATAAAAACAGCGGAAGTCAATGCTTTGTAACCCACCTCTGTTTTTATTATGAGCATAAACTTGCTGGTTTTAAAAATAGAAATAACTGCATAGTAACTGTAAACTTCCATCAACATGCTTTTCAACATGCTCGGCCAAACAAACTGAGATTTAGAGCAGATACGAACAACTGTCGTTGCTGTAGGTGGTGTTGATAATGACAGTGAAGACATGAAAAACATGCATTATCTCATTGCACTGATTACTAGAGTGGAAAACTACAAAATAACACTGTTGTGGCCACTTTTCTGCCTTAAGACCTCCCTGAAGTTCTAAATTGTGGACCAAGGGAGTCAAAAAGGCCCCATTTTGAGAGTCACAACAAAGGTGGGCTACTGTTATCTGTTACTGTGATAATTTAAATCAACAAAGATTAAACGTTTGGCAGTCGAGTAGATAAACAAATACAGAGGTCGTTTTTTATTAAACCATGAATGAGCTGCCCTCCTCTTGTTGAGCTCATTTGTTTTCATTCGCCTCCCGGGGCCATGAAGCTCCAGCAAAAACAACTTTTCCAGCAGAGGTGGACAGTTTCAAGCAAAAGCAGATACTCTGGCGTGCTCGCTTAGGTCATTGTCATAAACTGAGTGGTTTACATCTCAAAAAGTGGCTTAAATTCTGCATTATAATTCTTTAAGTTGTGCTTATAAGCCGACTTTTCTTGTGGAGTAACTCCATCGGTAAAGAGAAGCCACAAATGTGGCTAACTCCAGGTTTGCTTTTAGCGATAGAAAGGGGCCTAGCGGGGCAGCTTGGGTGAGAATAACCGCATCTCATGTTAAGTACAATGGGGACCTACCCTGTTTTAGCTCTCGGCCTCTTGTAAACAACCATGCGAAGGAAAAGACGGACATTTACCTGGACAGCAGCTCAACAGTGTGCCCGTCTCATTATACTTTGGTGCTTCGGCGGTGTTTTAAGTTGGTAAGTCCTTCAACAATGTGGACAGAAGTGCTCTCATTTACTCCGTTTCTCTTTGCCTTTCTTCCACTACACCTCCCAAACGCGCTGTCTGCCGTGCCTCTGTGGCAGCCCGCCGTCTCCCGGGTCCTATCGCCCCCCTTATATCAGTCGCGTTCGCTGGAGGAGTGTCATTGAAAAAAAACAACAAAAAAAACCATGTGCATTGGCCTCGATGAACCCTCTGTTTTATCTGAGCAGCTCGGTAGTTCCCAGGAATACAGGTGCATCTCAAAACAGCAATATATCTTTAAAAGGTTCATTTATTTAACTGATTCAGTTCTAGAAGTAGGATAGAAGGATAGAATAGAAATATCCTGTAAACATACACAAGCGTACAAAATTAAAGAAAATACACAATACATTCAAACAGCAGCACCCAGTTTTTATTTTTGAAAATTACTCAAGTTATATGTTGTCTAATCCTTCCTCAATTGAAAAAAAAATAATTGTTTTAAAGCATCGACAAAAAGTTCAGAGTAATGTGGCACTGATGCTGATTGTGAGTGTATGTAGACTTTTGACAAACAGGCCTATATATTTACATGTAACGATGAGATTATTCCACAATTTCAAATTGTCTCGTGTAGTTTCCTGAGACTTGATGACTCATGAAACTACATAATAAAATCTGAGGACTAAATCAAGAAAACCTGCTACTGGGGCGGTAACTTGTGTTTGTTGTTTTGTTTTGTTTTGATTTTGTTTTTTTGTCATTTCAATTGTTGTGCTCTTTAGCTGAAGAGAAGAAAGAACAAAATATCTGTGGAGACTAACTTGGCCTTAAGAATGATTTTGAGAAAGAATTTTATCATATTAAGCTATAAAAAAGATACTGTGAAGAACTGCTCTATTTGTCATCCAAAAAAAGCAGCTGGCACAATTTTCAACCAAATCATGCCAGTGAAAACATGGCCGAGGTACATCTATTAGTTGTGCACTCTAACTTTCATGGAAAGACGCAAGAAGAAAACCACTGTTGAGGAAAAGCAAGTAAAATAATGTTTAAATTTGTCATAAGCCACATAGCAAATATGGAAGAAATTTATTTTTCTGTCAAGCGAGTCCATAAATAAACTTAGCGTGAAAAATACTGGACAGTGGATAATTAACGCTGCAAACTTTGTCTTCTGGCAGTGTAAAGGCATACTGTCAGAGATACATTGGAATGGTTTAGAAAAATTAACATTGTGTGTCATGCTGAACACAGTAAAACATGGTAGTGGCAGCATCATGCTGAGAGGATGCTTTACTTCAGCCTCTACAGTGAAGCTGATGATGATGCTAAGTTGCGAAAGACTTAAGATTTGGGGTGAAAGTTCACCTTCCAGCAGGGTAGCCATACAATCAGGGCTAAAATAAAATAGATTACATCAAAATATGTACAGACACTAGAATGGCCCAGTCAGCATTCAGATCTGTTATTTAAGTATCAGTGGAAAAACATGATGTGACTGATATTCACAGATGCTCTCAGTCCAGTCTGTCTGAGCTTGAGACATATTGCAAGGAAGATGGACAAAGATCTCTAGATGTACAGAGATATTTTACAAAGGATTTGGAAGAATTAGAAATTATTCCACAAAATACAGTTTTATATAATTTTCATTCAAAAAAATTCTTTTGAATTATGTGATAACTTGGTCTGTTTTTTCTGACTATTAAAAAAAATAAAATCTCACTCAAAAACTGAGTTTTGTAGTTCTAGTTGGGTGGTTGTAAAACTGAAGGGACACCAATGTTTTTTACAAAGCATTGTAATTGTCCTTCAAACTACAAACTATTTTGTTTTTGAATTGTTTTTGGAAGGATTAAAACAGGGAAACAATTTAAAATGGATCATTTCATTCCAAATGAGCTTTATTACAAGAACTGTCATTTAGAGACTAAAACAAATGTGAGAGTAATGAAGATGTGTATTTATAGGATTTGTAGAACAATGATTTTTAAAAGACTCTAGGTGCTAAACAGAAGTGCCTGCAGCCCAGAGCTCACACATGTTGGCAACAGATGATGTTCTCCAGAAATGCAGCTCACTTTCAAAACAGCATCAGTTGGCCTTCTTATTTCCCGCATATTTACAACTGCGTGAAAAGCGGCAGTGCTACAAACGAGATTCAGACTGCATAAATTTAAAACATCCTTACACAATGACTTCCTGAGTGTGGTGTTTGATCCCTGTTTCTTCCTGTGCCTCAGATAGATACATAGTTAAGTTTAAATAATGTAATAGAGGTTCAATAAAACACAATAGTACAGTGAGTAGCTAATGGATGACAGGATTCCAGCGACTGCCACTAGACTTCCTTCTGTGATGAAACATTTATTGTCTGTGTGCCCTCTATCTCCGAGTCTATTCTACTGTCATTTCCTCTTATTTTGTCACTTACTCTGTGATGTGTTCCTCACTGTTACCATGAGTTAGCTTTGCCTGGCTGTTCCTGTCATAATACAAACAGAGCTCACAGAGGGAATCCCATACATTTTACTTTTGTTTTGCTTTTTGCTTGAGCTCCCATCTCCTAGTACTTAAAAATACTTGATTGCAGTCACAGCTTAAGATGAGAATCTTATGAAAAAGTTCATTATGTTTGAGAGTCATTTCAAGAAGTGACCAGATCCATTACACATATAGTGAACTATATAAATATATAAAAATTCCCTTCTCACCCACCGCGGGTGGTTCTTATCCTCTGAGCTCGGGTCCTCTATCAGAGGCCTGGGAGCTTGAGGGTTCTGCGCAGTATCTTGGCTGTATATATATATATATATATATATATATATATATATATATATATATATATATATATATATATAATATATTATATATATATATATATATATATATATATATATATATATATATATACCAACAAATTATCAACAAGACTGGCTACGGATACCGACTCAAAAATGGGGCCAACATCAGTCACCTTCTCTACATGGATGACATCAAGCTGTATGCCAAGAGTGAGCGAGACATCGACTCACTGATCCACACCACCAGGATCTACAGCACTGACATTGGGATGTCATTTGGACTAGAGAAGTGTGGTCGGCTGATCACAAAGAGGGGGAAGGTGATCCGCACAGAAGGAGTCTCACTCCCACAAGGAACAATAGCAGACATAGAGGACAGTTACAAGTACCTAGGTATACCACAAGCAAATGGCAACCTCGATGAGGCCACAAGGAAAGGAACCACAGCTAAATACCTCCAACGAATAAGGCAAGTCCTGAGAAGCCAGCTCAATGGCAAGAACAAAATCAGTGCGATAAACAGCTATGCCCTGCCAGTAATCAGATACCCTGCTGGAATAATTAGCTGGCCAAAGGAGGAGATAAAAGCCACAGATATTAAGACTAGAAAGCTACTAACCATGCATGGAGGGTTCCATCCCAAATCCAGCACCCTGAGACTGTACACGAGCCGCAAGGAAGGAGGCAGAGGACTAGTGAGTGTGAGAACCACTGTCCAGGATGAAACAACTAAGATCCATAAATACATCAGGGACAAAGCCTTAACAGACAATGTGCTCAGTGAATGTCTCAGACAACAGGGAACGGAGGTTGAGGTGCCAGAGATACCATCATGGGAGGACAAACCCCTACATGGGATGTACCACCAGCAAATAACCCAAGTGGCTGATATCAGTAAATCCTACCAATGGCTGGAAAAAGCTGGACTCAAGGACAGCACAGAGGCCCTCATCCTGGCCGCCCAGGAACAGGCCCTAAACACCAGAGCAATAGAGGCCCAGATCTACCACACCAGACAAGACCCAAGGTGTAGGTTGTGCAAGGAGGCCCCTGAGACAGTCCAGCACATCACAGCAGGGTGCAAGATACTGGCAGGGAAAGCGTACATGGAGCGACATAACCAAGTGGCAGGCATTGTGTACAGAAACATCTGTGCAGAATATGGACTGGAAACCCTGAGATCAAAGTGGGAAACACCCCCAAAGGTGGTAGAGAACACCAAAGCTAAGATCCTATGGGACTTCCAGATCCAGACAGACAAAATGGTAATGGCGAACCAACCAGACATTGTCGTAGTGGATAAAAATCAGAGGAAAGCCGTTGTGGTAGATGTAGCAATACCAAGTGATTGCAACATCAGGAAAAAGGAGCACAAGAAACTGGAGAAATACCAGGGCCTCAGGGAAGAACTGGAGAGGGCCTGGAAGGTGAAGACCACAGTGGTGCCTGTGGTCATCGGGCCCTCGGGGCAGTAACCCCCAAACTGGAGCAGTGGCTACAACAGATCCCAGGAACAACATCAGACATCTCAGTCCAGAAATGTGCAGTCCTTGGCACAGCCAAGATACTGCGCAGAACCCTCAAGCTCCCAGGCCTCTGGTAGAGGACCCGAGCTCAGAGGATAAGAACCACCCGCGGTGGGTGAGAAGGGAATTAATATATATATATATATATATATATATATATATATAATATATATATATATATATATATATATATATATATATATATATATATATATATATATATAAGCTAGGGATATCTTTTTTTAACCTAACTCTTCTTTAAACCTTTCTCCAGCTTTATCCCTGATGTGTCTGAGCTGTTACCTGGTCTTCCTGAATCTATCTCTTCACTCTGTCAAATCTCTGTCAAACCTCTTAGACCTTCACATTTCAGTTGGATTTAGACTGAGGTCAGATTACACAGAGGTGGGTTATCTTTGCAAATTAGTTAACGTCTGAAGGGATTCAATTGCACTGACTTTCTTTATTAATAAAATGGACCTTAAAAATAAATGCACACCACTCTTTTCAGGTTTCTATTTGTTAATAATGTATTACTAGTCTGTAACATAAAATTCCAAGTATATGGTTTGGGAGGTGGGAATATAATATATATATAAGGCACTAAATGTAGAGATTTTGTGCAGAAAATTTGCAGTGAACATCTGGTACAGCTCCACTCTGGTTCTGTGAAATATATTGATTTTCTAAAAGTATGTGAAAAAAAAAGTGATGCTAAGCGAGGCAAATGTTTTTTTTTTTTTTTTTTTTTTTCTGAAGCACAAACCTTCTCAGA